CCCACCTCAGGAGGCTGCTTTCCCTCCTTCTGCCATTGGCCGGTTGGAATTGGGATCCAGTGGTGACCTGAAGAATCAGTCACCTTCTTCTGTGATAGCTGGCCTCACAACCACAGAAAAGGAAAGATGGCCCAAGCCTAGCAGTTATGAAGGCCTTAGTGGCCTTTGTCCCTCCCCAGGGAGGGCAGGGCGGCGTGGCCACATCCACACAGCCACTCAAGTAGAAAGGGAAAACAACTCACTGCTTGCTCACTGGGGACAGGGAGCCGTGGTTGGCACAGCACCCTGGGGCCCTTCCCCTGGGGGACAGCGAGCCCTGGCTGCAGCTGAGCTCTCTGGTTGGGGACAGCTTGTCCTCCAGCGTGGGAAGCAAGCATGGAGGCCTGAGCTGTGTGCCCCGGGGCAGGCGGGAGGGGAGCAGGCCAGGACAAAGAAGCAGCAGGGCTCAGGGGTGGGGGAGGGGCCCACTGGCCGCCTCGGCCTGTCCCAGCTGCATCTGTCACTCTGTGGTTTTCACACTGTGCCTGGGCAACAGACCAGCCCCAGCCCCATCCTCTCCCGGACTCCTGCTTCCAGTATTGAGCTTCTGCCTAGGATTTAATTTCAAGATAAGATTGCGCTGTTTATAAAAGGTTGAAAAACAGTCCATTAGGGATTCGCGAAGGCCCCACCCAGTGCACAAGAAGTTTCAGTGTTCAATAGGCAGCTTCAGGAAAATGCTCTAAATACAGAGACGTCTCCCTGTGCCTTCTTGTTGGGGTGTGTGCGAGGTCTCTTGTAGCTCTATCGCTTGGCACCCCTTAGGCACACCCCTTAGCTCTTCTTACAACTCAGCAATACACTGGGAATGTCACAATGAGGGAAAGTCATCTCAACCTTTGTCTGGTAAAGGAGACAGGACGTAAACACAGTGTTCATAATTGGTGCAGAATTCTGTGAGGGATCCCAGAGCCCAGGGCTGGAGCCCAGGAGATGAGGTATTGCCTACTTGGGGTGGAGGGATGTGAGAGCCAGAGACCAAGGGACTTGCTTAACCCATGCAGCTGACAAGCATAGGACTATGCAAAAATGTCTGGTTCTTTCAAAGGAGACACTGTCTTTCTATGGGGCCAAGGTTGCCACCCCATGAGGCTCGGGCTATAGCCGGCAAGTTGGAAAAGCCCTGCTTGGCTGAAATGGACCCTTCATTGCCTCCCCTAGCCTTGCTCCCACCTCCCTGCCATCTCCTGGGATGGTGTGCCGATTCTATGTCCCTGCCAAGCTTAGCTGTCTACCCTACAAGCCCACCTTCCCCTTCCTCCCTTCATTGTGCCATCTGCAATCCAGGACCCTCCTTTCCTCTCCTCCTGATTCCCTCCTCTGAGCAGCCTCTCCCAGCCGGTGCCATCCAACCACAGAGGGAGACCCTCAGCACATTGGTCGTGTCCTTTACGTAGCAGGCTCTCAGGGGTAAGGCACTGCTGAAGGCCGGCACAGGAGGGCAGTGCTTTGCAAGTAGTATGACCCAAAGCCCTAACAGATGAGGCTCCCCACCCCCACCTTACTATCAACCAAAGCAGCCCCCTTTAATCTGATTTGCATAAATTTCCGACTTAAACAAGGAGTTCTACAGGTGAGAAAATTTCAGACCCATTGGAGGTCGATGTTCTTATTGTGCAGATGGGGAAAGTAAGGCTCAGAGAGGAGAAGGCATGCAGCTGAAGCCACATGGGTCTCAGCAGCTCCAGCCCTGAGCTTTTTAGGAAGCGTCATCTATTAGTAAGCCAGCACTGCTTGGTTTATAGGGAATTCCACTTATAGGTCTTTCTACTACGTAGAGCAAAACGGGCATATTCCCCACGTACTGTGGGAGGAAGAAAGTATTGTCATCAGCACCGTACTCTCCCGAGTGAGCCACGGGCCAGCCCGGACGAAAGTATTGTAAACTGAGTTATGTCGTGGGTCTGAAGTCGCAAACTAGAGCTCCACTGAGTGTGCCTGTCTTGCAAGTTTGTTTGGTCTGGCTACCTTTTATTTTTAAATATATTTATATATAAAATATTTAATTAAATATATATTGTTTTATTCAAATTATTTATTGCATTAGTCAGGATGGCATGCATTATGCTGCAGTAACAAATCCCTGGAACACCAGTGGCTTATCAAGGCAGAGGCTTCTTTCTTTTTCCCAGTCCATACCCGGTGCAGGCTGGCAGAGTCACTCAGGAGCCTAGGCTGACCATCAAGTACCTGCACCAACTGGAACATGTGGCTTGCTGGGTCACCACAGCAGGGGACAGGAGAGCTGGAGGGTTGCATGCTGGTTCTTAAATGAGCTGTCCTGGAAGTGACCCACAACACTTCTGTTTGCAGCTCCCTGGTCAGAATTAGTTACATCTAGCTGTAGGGGGCTGGGGAAGGAGAATGATCGCGTGGTCATTCCAGGGGCAGTAACTGTCTCTGCCACAGTCACCCAACTTTAAGCAGTGGAATATAGTCCATAAAAATCCAGATTTCTGGCTTCCTATGAAATACCAGAAGGGCTGTCCCTTTGGAGGAGGGATGTATCCTCCAACTCCCTGTGGACTCAGACAAGTCTGTCCTTGGCCTCTGGACAATTACAGTTTTCATTCCTGCTGTATATGCACAACTCTGAAAGAGTCGACTTTTGGAGGAGCCTGTGAAGCTTCCTGTATTCATTCAGTCGTTTCACACCCAGTTATGGACCTCCTGTGATCTGCCAGGCTTGTGGGGATGGGGGCAGAAAGGCAGCAGCACCACCCCACCATGCTCCTGTCCTCTTGGGGGTCAAAGGAGAGGCAAGCCCTGCAGGGCCCAGCACGGTGGGGAGCCAGGAGGAGGAGCTGGGGCACAGGGGCTGCTCCCATACCCAATGGGGGCTGCTCTGACAGAGGTTTCCTGGGGGAGCTAACTTGGGAGTATGGGAAGAGGAGGTGGCCATGTTCTGAACAGCGAACAGCCCTTCAAAGCCCTAAAAGAGGAAAAAGCATAGAACATCAGGGCAGCTGTGAACATCTCAGCAACGATCTGGGATAGGAGCTGGATACAGAGGAAGGCAAGGGAAAAAGCCACCTCCTGTTATTTCTGGGTAAATCCAGCCCTTCCTATAACAGGCTTGCTGGAAGCAAGACATCGTGGTGCCACAGACCCACAGAAACAGGGGTGACTAAGAACCCCAGTCACATGGCTTACCCAGGGCTGAAGACAGCTTCTACCTTCTGAGTGTTTGAGGAACTCCCCAGGGAAGGAGCAGGCAGGTCACTTTTTCCACAGGTGAGCTGAGGAGCTGAGGAACTGAACCCTGTTTTGAAATCCCTGTTGCCAGGCAAAGAAGGATGCAGCAAGGGGGCTCTTGCTCCAGCCCCGATGGTGCCACCGCCCGTGTCCCTGTGCAGGTGGGCCTTGCTGCTGGGGGCCTGACCTCACTGTAGAGCAAGGCAAAGGGGAGGCGTTCATAGCGTGATCCTGAGGTCATCAGGAAGCCCACCTCCCTCAAATCATTTCCTCTTCCATGCCAGCCACGTGTCCCCTGCTCACCCAGGGCTGACGCCGCACAGAGGGTGGGTTCATCCTGTTTGTGAGATGTCAAGCAAGGAAGGAGAGAGTGTGCTGGACTAGTCAGGGTCAGTGCCCAAGGAGATGGAGCACTCTGCTGTGAGGGGCCCTGAGGTCATTAATAAACATGACCTTGAGCCTCTGGTAACATTTGCACACACACAGGTTGGGAAGACATGATGAGCCAGATGCATGTGAACAGAGGCTGGGGTTTGTGAATGAACCTACCTCTGTGGTGGGAAGGACATGGGGTGCACCCTGGTTGTGTCACCTCCCAAAGCGGCTTAACCCCTCAAACCCCAGCTGCAACTTGAGGGGTGAGAGGTAGAAGCAGAGTCAGCACTGGAGAGCACATGTGTGTATGTGCAAAGCTTTACCTTACTGCCTGGCATATAGAAGGCCTTGATAAGAGAAGGTCCTTGGCCAGAATAACATGGAAAGAGAGAAGCAGAACCATGCAGGGGATGCCAACGGGCTAGAGAAAGCTCTCATAGGTTCACCCTCCATGAAAGAATTCTGGGGAGGGCTGAGAAGCTCCTCAACCCTTTCAAGGTTGTGATGGAAGGAGATACAGACAGTTTCAAGTGTGAATCCACTAACCATCCTGTAGGCTAAAGATTACCCCATTGCACAGATGAGGAAACGGAGGCTTGGGGCTTTGAGACACTGCCCAAGATCTACACAGAGAAGGGGTTACGAGACCAGCGTCAGGGGTCCACACACTTGTGCTCCAACAGTGGCTTTGCTGCTTATTCGCTGCGAGGTCTTGGGCAAAGTGCTTAACCTCTGTCCCCATTTGTTCATCCATAAGATGGAAACACGATGCTGTTTCCCTCACAATGTTGTCGTAAGGACTAGGTGAGATAACTCGTAGAACATGCTCGACGGTAACCAGCACATAGTGAACTCAGTACTGATTCGCCTACCACTGGGAGAGCTGGCTCCAGGGAGCTGATTCCCAAAGCAGTGCTGGAGCCACTACCCTGGCTCGGTGGGAAGGGAGGAGAGAGGCCGAGGGCAGCTTTACAGGATTGGAGGAGCTGCCAAAGCAGAAATCATCATTCAGGTGTCCTGGCCAAGGGAAGAGAGCATGTGGTCTGGAGCAGTTAGGAGATTGATCTGGAATCCTGTGGATAATGGAGATCAGGGTGGGAGGCCGATAGTACCAGTACCACTGGCTCAGCAGTTCTAACCTTGCCCAAGCAAGGGGATCTTGGCTGACACTAGCAAGTGTGGGGCCCCATTAAGTGTTCTGGCCTGATCCTTTCAGCCGAGGGCACCCTGCACCCAGGCGGGTACGATGCCAAGGCTGTTAGCCTCTGCATCAGGACTGCGGGCACTGGCACTGAGCACTGCACTGGCCAGCACTACTCCTGGCTTACCTGCTCATGCGCCCTCCTCATGTTCTCTGCAGGTAACTTCCAGGTCTGCAGACGAGAGGAGGCGAAGATGAAAGAAGATTGTCCGCCCAGCTCCTATGTGCCTGTCAGCGACAGCAAGTCCATTCTGAAGTAAGCCCTGTGTGTAGGGAGGGGCTTCACCCCACCACCTCCTGTGCCCATTCCCCTGTAAGGGAGCCTTTGGGTGGAGGGGTCTGGACACTTTCTCATAGATCTGATGGGGTGCCCTAGGGGCCAGGGATGGGGTGCTTCTTTTTGGAGCCTGTCCAGTAGGAGAGCCATGAGCCACAAGTGACCTTGGATGGGGGTGTGGCTAATATGAAATTCGCTGCAGATGGCAAACATTTCTTACAAAATAAGAGTGTGCAGGTATCATTAGTAAGTTTTATATTGATTACATGTTGACAGGATAATAATTAGTTTTGCTATAATGTGTTATTAACACTAATTTCACCTGTTCTGTTTTCCCTTTTAATGTGGCTACTAGCTGATTGAAAATGACTGGTGTGGCCCACATCTCATGTCTCCTGGCTGGCACTGCCTCACAGAGTCCGGCTTGGGTGCTGGGAACTGTCTGGCCTTCTCTCTCTCCCACACCAGCCAGGACTTTATGCTGGGAGAAAGCATTTGGACAAAGTGGCCTCCCTGGGGTCTTCAGGATCTTACTCTCAGGGCTGTCACCTGAACTCTGCACCTCTGGAAAGTCAGGACGGGGAAGAGGCAGGCACCTCCACGGTGCAGCCACGCCAGGCCTGCTGGGAAGTAAAAAGAGGGGAAAACAAGTCTTTAAAATGCCACTAATCCAAGCCCAGGGGATTCACTCTGAGGAAGTGGCTCAGAGGTGAAGTACAGGGAGTCTGCCAGGGGCTCCGATCTGTGATAGTGAAAGGTGCCAACACCCTGGATGTCCTGGTTGTGATGTGGGCCCGTCTTCAGCCCCACCAGACCCTCCTGAATGATTATCTGTGGCTGGCAAAACATGTGATATTATGCCCATTTTACAGATGAGGAAACCAAGGCCAGTGAGGCCAAATGCCTTGTCCGAAGCCCCTCCACACCCCAAGAGTACATGTGTGTCTTTGCCTTTTTAGATCGGAGCTCTTAAGCCTGCTGAAGACCTACAACTGCTACCATGAGGGCAGAAGCTTTCAGCTGAGACACTGTGAGGTGAGGCCCATTGCGCTCGGTATTCCCAGGGTCCCCATTTATCCTGGTTTGCAGCAGACAGCCCTGGCTTCCACCTGTTGTTTCAGAGTAGTTAGGAAGGCTATGCCCTGCACTCTCAGAAGTGTCCCAATTTGCATAATGATTATATGGTCACCCTTGTCACTCATCCCCAGAGCTGGAGACCAGGTTACCAGCAGCCAGTACGTATATCACCCTTGAAGTCCCTGCACAGGTGCTGAGGGTCAGAGCATCCCTGCAAGAGTTCAGAGCAGGTAGAAATCACTTTGTGGCCTTCTCCCTCCACCTGGACCTTTCCAGGTAAGTCGCTGGGACGTTGGAGTCTGAAATCTTAGAGACTGAGTAGCCCAGTCCTTCCTCTCCCCATCACACCACTCGGTGGTGGGGACTGAGAGTCAGTCCCTGTCTGTTCCCTACCAACCCAGTCAGGTATCCTGAACGTTCTCACCTGTGTCCCTTGGTCTTCAGTGATCTCATCTATAAAGCGCGGTGTTGGGCTACAGAAGGGGTCATAATTTCACATGGTCACAAGGCCAGGTGGGGCGAGTGTGGGGAGTGGGTCCCAACTGAAGGTGGCAGCCACCCGTCAGGTCAAGCCCACTACTGCTGTGTGGGAATGTGGGCCCAGTACAGCCAGCCCCTTTCCATTTTCCAGAAGATGCTAGCTATTTGGAATTTTGTGAGGAATTTCCCAACGTGAAACATCATGTGGGCTAAACAGAATGTGTATGAAGCCAAACACAGCCTTTTGGGTACTAGCTGGACTCTAAGGCTCTTCAACAGGGCCCAGGCCCAGGGAGCCATGCACCAGGCAGACCAGTAGAGCCCTGGTCTTGCCACCATGCAGGACCTCCAGACATTTCATGGGAACCCTGGTTGGAGTTTTGTGCCCCCATCTCGGTTTATTTAATATTTATTATATTTTTACAGCCTCATAGTGAGTTTAGCGTGGTAAGATTCTATTTGGGAGGTTTCTGCAGTTGCGATCAGGTTGGCTCCTGGACCTACCCCCGTCCATCAGTGTCAGGCAAAGGCCAGTGGACCGCAAGTCCCTCTTCTGTTGGTGAACACAGGAATGTTCAAGCCCTGGGTGACCCACAGAGACCTGGTCAGAGTGGAGCCACTCACTCACTAGTCCTCTCTCTCTGTAGTGATTCAAACACATCCTTCTACACCTTCCACACCAGCGAGTCAGCCTCTGTGTCCGCACAGCTCTGGGCAGCTGGGGGGGAATTAGTAGCAAGAAGGAGGGCCGGCTGGAACCCACCTGCCAGACAGCCTCGGTCAGCCACCTGAGGCACCCCATCTCATAGCCAGGCCAGAGGTCACACCGCTCACAAGCCCTGGTCACTTAGGCCTTGATGGGAGGCATCTTCTGGCTTCTGGGCCAGGCAGTGCTGGGCTGCCTGTGACAACTGGGAATAGCACCTGTCTCACATTCCACCTTCCCTTGACCTGGCCACCTCGCATGGGCTCTGACACCTGGTTCCCCACCCCTCCTGCTGCCAGGAGCCTCTTTCTCTGGCACTTTCTTATCCTGCCTGCCCCCAGCCCGCCTACCCCATGCCAACACAGTTCTTCACCACTTCTCTCATGGCTCTGAGCTGCCCCCCGCCCCACCCCACCTTGCCATCTGGTTCTGCTGTCTCTTTTCTCGCTTGAGCAGTAAGCCCCACCACACTGGGCCCAGGCTCAGCCTGGTTCTGCATCCCCCCAGCCAGGCACAGTGCGGTAGCTGTGCATTGTCATGGGATGACTAACCAGCAGGTGCAGGCCTTGGGCAAGCTGGGATGAGTCCTAAGTCCTGAGCTCCTGTGTGCTGGGCAGGGGGCAAGGCAAACAGAGCTGGGGGGTTTTGATCTATGTTGCCAAGTGAGGAGTTAGCACCTACTTCAGATTGCCTGGCAGAGGCAAGGGGTATGGTTGGAGGGTCTTCTGGCTGGGACTCTGTTCTGTTTCAGTATCACCTGGGAACTGATTAGAAATGAACATTCTTACCACCCCCCTGGCCACGGCCTGCTGAATCAGGAGCTCTGAGTCTCCCATCTGTGCTGTAACAGGCCCTTCAGGGCATTCTGAGCAAAAGGTCAAGTTTGAGAACCTTTAATGAAAGCTTGGTCTTGACACTTGGGATTCCCCAAGATAATCCTCCCTGTAGAACAGCTGTGTGGGGAGCAGGGCTGGGAAGCCCCAAGCCAGCACCCTGTGCTTATGTGTGTGGGACAGTCCATGTGGAGAAGCGGGGGACTCCACATCAGGGAAGAGGTGTCCCCGACAGCCTGCAGTGGTAGGAAGGTAACCCACTTGGGGAATTTTCATGTTCCTAAACCTAAAGAGGATGTGAGGATCTGACGTGATCTCCATGTAGCCAGAAAGCACCTTCTGTAGCCCTGACAGCCAAGGTGGTGCCAGTCTGAGGAAGTGCTCATCTTTTTAGGGTGATAACCACCATAAAGAGTAGGCTGTAGGCCTGGGAGACAGAGTTCTGATGCTGATAAGCACAGCTGGTTCCTGGGGCACCACGCCCCTCAGGGTCTCAGCGAGGGCACATGACCCACCACCACCCATCTGAAAGATCGCAGACCCAGGACCTCCTGGGCCTCTGGGACCTACACAGTACTTGCAGCAGGGCCATCCAAGGCCAGCTCTCCTTGGGTGCCCCAGGCCCCAAGAGCTGGGCAGATAGAGGGACTGGCAATTCTACTGGGATCCTCCAGTGCACCAGGCATTTGCCTCTATTTTATTTATTGTAATACAAGAGCTTTGCAATGTAGTAGTGGCCACTTCCCAGGCAAAGAGACTTGGGATCTCAGAGTTTAAGTCTTTAGTACAAGGTCACAGTGCAATAAATGAAAGATGCCAGCATGGCTCCAAGGTCTGAACACAACTGTTTATAATGCAGTGATGCCATTTCTAGCATTAAGCTTTGGAAGTCTTTGAAGGTCTTGATTGAGTATCACTGAACAGATCTCAGGGACACAGGAAGCTGTTTGTCACCCTCAATCCGCAGTCTTCAGGCTGCTGGGGGGCTGCCCACCCTGGTATATCCTCACAGGGCTGTGTGGGGCCCTGGAAGAAAACCTTCCATGTGATCGCTGGGCCTCCCCTGTAGCAACTGCAGCCTGAGCACTTCAGTTTGGGGCTCGTTCCCTCCCACTGCCTCATCTGTAGAACTTGGAGAGACAAAGTGCATCTGTGGGCAGGGGACACGTCCTGGGGCAAGCGTTTCTCTGTGAACCTTCCCCCAGATTTCTAAGGATTAGGGGAAGGGATTCCCGGCTCAGGAGGCTGAGGCTCCAGCTTCCTTTATATAAACCTTGCCTTTGGGATAATTTTGCTTGTATTACGATGGAAAGCATAAGTAACTGGGAGCAATCTGCCTTTTGAAGACGGCAAAGGGTTTTAACGAGGCTAGTTAGTGTCTCAAAAAAAAAAAAAGCAGAACACCTGGGAATGTCGGTGTGTAAACCTATCGCTCTCAACTAACAGTGTGAGCAGGAGGCTGTAGGACCCTTACCCTGGGGGTGCACCTGTGAGACCCCCACCGCCTGGCGCGCAGCTGTCAGCAGGCTCAGGGGCTCCCCCTGGTGGCCATGAGTACACACCACACCCAGCCCCACTCCGCAGCCCCAGTCCCTGAGCAACATGAGAAACGATAGGAGCTTCCCCGGGCCCAGGGTCTCTGTTCCTCCCAGGAGTGCAGAGAGCCAGGATCCTTTCCTGGGAGGGCTTCCGCAGCCCCTCTCCTAAGACCTGACAGAGCCCCGTGGACATCTACTGTGTCCCATGATCCGCCCCATGAATGGGGGAGAATGTGACCGCTCGGTAGACCCCCCACCCCACCCCGTAGGAGGACTTGCGAAGGGAAAGGAATTCTGCTAGGCTGCACTGTCCTCAGGAGTTTGGACACCACCAGAAGCCCCTGCCCCCAGCCCTTTATTCTATTTGAGGGGAACACCTTCTGAAGGTGCCATTAACTTCTTTCACATGAGGGGGATTTTAGCAGGGCAGCCCAGAGCCCGGGGGCTCCTCACCCTATCTGACCTCCCTTAGCATGGGGGGAGTCCGCAAGTGTCATCTAGTTGCTAGACGCCTCCCTCTGGCCTGGGTTTCATATGCCACCTTGCAAGAGAGGCTGCAGCGAGGCTGGGACCAGCAAGCCCGGCCCATCCAGCCCCAGCCAGGTGCCTGCTTGGTCAGCCAGCCCTGCCCATCGCTCCTAAGGATCTTCTGGCTAAAGGCTGCCCCACAGATATGTGCCAGAGAAGGTCAGGGACCCGCAGGTTTGAGGCGACTGAAGAGACCAGGAGGCTGTGATAGATACAAACATATGTTTATGGTTCTTCTAACTCTGTCTCCGAGGTCATTTGTCCAGTATCCCCAACCCTTTGGGGTGTGAAAAACAGGCACTGATGTCCCCATTTTATAGATAAAGACACTGAGTAAATTGCTTGTCTGAAACTTTGTCCATTTAGTGTGTGGTTTACATTCTATCTCCCCAGAAAACACACATAAGAGGACAAATAAACATTGAACAAGTCCGAAGCAATTAAAATAGCTGCAAAACAGAAAGAAAACAGATGGACAGTTCACAGAACAAGGAAGTGGAGCCGACTCAAGCAGACCCCGTGAGCGCGGCTGCAGCCCCCAGCTCCTCCTCCTCCTCTCCCCTTTCTCTGTCCCTTCCCTCCTGAGAGGGTCAGCCAGGTCCAGCCTGGCCCATGGGAGTGGAGTGACCGGTCCTCCGGCCTTCTTTATTGTTTCGAGTTCTCTGAGGCCACACCTGCCACTCTGAGGAAGGAAATCCTCCTTCTCCATTTCCCACCCTCACCCCCTTGCTTGCCAGATGCCTCCAGGAACTAGGGTTCTCTAGGCCACAGGGACACAGGGCTGGCCCAGGCTGGCCTGGGCCTTAGAATATCTGGGCTTGCCTGGTGTGGGGTAGCTGGAAAACACCCTGCTCTTTGCCCACAGCTGAGAGCCTGACCTTGCAGTGAGGTCCCTGGGTGGAGACAGTGGTTAGGGGAATGGACGGTGGGGACCCAGCCACTGGGTCCAGGGTTTTGGCAGCCTGCAGGCTGAGTGGTACAGATTCCGTCTTGGCCTCCGCATGGGGAACTCTCCTAATGCCACAACAGGACTTGTGAGTGGGGTGCCCTGGGTGTGTCCAGGTGACAGGTCCCCTTGGAACACAGTGGTGCACTTGCTGAGGGCCGATGTTTTCTCTTGAGCCTCATGGAACACGGACTCTGAAGGTGGGGACCAAGAAGCTGACTTGGAGTGCCCAGAGTCTTGCTCTGAAAGGGGGCGCTAATACCCATCCACTGTCCCGCATCCCTACCCCTGGTTTCCCTGCCCGTGATGGCAGGAGCTACTCAGTGCATTTACTGGGCAGATCAGCCGGGGAGGCAGGTCCCATCCATCATCTCCATTTTACCCATGTGCACACTGAGGAACAGAGACATTAAGTAACTCGCTTCAGCAAGGAGCAGAGCAAATGGGTCAGTGACGTCTCCTGTGAGACAGGCTGTTACGGCTCTTCAGAGCAGTGTCTCACTGTGAATGACTAAAGCAGGCAGCCCCTACAGAAAAGCATTTCCCTCCCAGAGACCACCACAGGGGAGGGAGAGACATGTTCCCCGCATGCTCTTTACAGACGCCTTTATTGGGGAGGGGTCAGAGTTCATGGATCACCGGGAGGTGCGAGTAGAGAGTTCTGAGGTTGCTGCTGGTGCGGGGGCTGCAGGGGGAGGCCACGGTCCGGCCAGGCTGCTCAGAAGTCCAGCTAAGCAAGTGGGAGCTCTGGTACCCACCCCATGACAGTCTTGCCAGAAAGAGCCCGGGCGCCCTAGCTTCACAGAGCCTCCCTCCGGGTGTCCCCCTGGTCTTGCCACTGTCCGTCTGTCTGTGTGGACCCCAGGGGCCAGCAGCGGGGCTAGTCCTCCTTGGCATGTCTCTCCTACTTGGCTGCTTTTCCTGGGACTCCCCAAAGAGCCAGCCCAGGGGGTCAGCAGTGCCAGGTGCAGGCAGCGTGGGCTGCTGGCCACTGACGTGGGCAGTGATGTCCTGTAGTGATGCCGCAGTGCAGCTATTCTCGCAGGCCTGGGCTGGCCGGTGGGGTCGCCTGGGTCGGCCCGGGTCTATGGCCTGGTCCAGCACAGAGGTGGGCTGCGCCAGCTGACAAATAGACTTCACATAGTCATCCAGGCTGGGGGAGGCTGGGGGCTCCTGCCCAGGCCCCCCGGGCAGCATCTCCTCCGAGGTCTCCCGAATTGTGGGCAGATGAGCCACGGAAAACAAAAGCCGAGACCTCATCCTTGCTGGCGAGGGTAAGCAGCAACCTGTTTGTCAACAGAAGACAGATGGTGAGGGCCTGACAGGACATCTAGACCCCTGTTGTGTCCCCTCACTCATCTGAGGCTGCCTGTAGGACTCAGGGGTCCTGAAGGTAGTTTGAAGTTGCAGAGAAAGACCAGGGCTCAGGCTCCTGGGCTCTTCCCTGCTGCTAACATTAAATCCATGTGCTTAAGACTTTATTATTAGGAACATGCACAATTAAGAGAACCCAACCTAACAAACAGGGAGACAGAGGAAACCAGGTTTTAAAACCAGGATCTGCCATGCACTGACCTTGGGACCTTCAGCAAGGTCACCTCTCCAAGCCTCCATTTACCCACCCATAAAACAGGGTTATAAATACCCGCCTGGCAGGGATGTTGTGAGAAACAAATTAAATGACACCTCAATTCCTCTGCAAATACAAAGCCCTCTGCAGAAAGCTGCGATTATCACTGCGTGTCCCTAGTCTAACCCATAGTAAGGCTGTGCGGGTCCAGTCTGAGAACTGCCATCGAAGATAAGCAAAGCCCTTGTGTTTTGTCTCAAACCAGAGGGCAGTTGCTTTCTCTTACCTGTAGCTGAAGGGGTCTGGGGGTGGCAGGGAGGCTGGAAGAGCAAGGACAGACGAGTCCAAAGGAAGCCCCCACAAAGCTCAGGGAGAAGACAAGGGATCTGGCGTGGGATCGCTGAGAGGTGGGGCACAGTGAGGACGGTGTGCTGAGGCCACCGTCCACCGCAGAAGGCTCCTCCCTGAGCTGTCTGGAGAACCTCAGGCCTGGCAGCTGCTTTTATACCTTCCCACCAGTCATCAATTACTGTCATGAAGGCTAAAAATAGCAGCACTCAGGAAGGCTCTCTGAGGAAAACAGCCCTGCAGGCGGGGCCTGGCTCAGCTGCCAGTCTGGAGCTGTGTTTGTGCCTGTGGGAGACTTGAGAACGTTTACAGTGTGGGGAGAGGGGGGCATCACTCCTGGCCACCTCAAGGCTGCTGGGAGAGGCAGGGGGCTCCACCCAGCTCCCACAGGCTGGCCCAGCGTCTGCCACCACTGCCTCGAGGTGTTCCCCACCATGCATCACACCAGCACCCCCAGCACCCCAGGACCCTCAGCCTTTGGCTGGTCCTTGCAGAACCCTGGGCTTGCGCCTGTGAGGCTGAGACAGTCCTCAGGCGACCTTGATGAGACACCAGCCATGCAGGGCCCCAGCCCAGAAGCGGCTGAGGCCAGGCTACTGAGTCTGCTCCACGCGAGGCACGCCCACCTTGGGCTGGGACCAAGGGCAGCTTGCAGGGCCTGGCCCTGGTCTTGCTACATCTTAGATACCAGGTGTGCAGTGCTACTATATGCCAGTGACTGCTCCAGGCACAGGGAATGTAGCAGTGAACAAATTCATCGCCCCAGAGCTCCAGAGCTAGTGAGGGAGACAATTCAACCATCGAAGGATGGGTGCTGTGATTTCAGGGTACTGAGGACAGCAGCAAAGAACAGTGCAGCAGCATGGCAGAACAGGGGACAGGCTGCCACTGCAGTTAGAATAGCCGAGAGTGGCTTCCCTAAGAGGAGACATCGGAGCAGAGATCTGAAAAAATTGGGGTAGGGGACCCAGGCCCTCGACCTGTGTCTGCCAGCACACACTTCCTCACATATGTGGCAAGGGCGGCCCAGTAGCCTGGTGGTCTCTGCTGTGGCCCCACCATCCCTGGTTTGATCGGAGACAACTGCAAGCTAACAGGGCCCCCTCCATTCAGGCTGAGGGGAGGGTGGGTGGTGGTGGGTGCGTGTGTTGGGGGCAGGCACACTTGGCCTGCGTCATGTGGGGCCAGCCCGTCCTCCCAACCTCGAGGCAGCCCCTCACTCTGCAGCAGCACTCCCCACCCCCAAGTCCCAGAGGACTTCCCGTCCTTCCCCACATGGTCCCCTGAGTCTTCTGCCCCTGGGGTCTCTGAAGGCCCAGCCTCAGTGTGTCCAGCCCCTGCCCTGCCCAGCTACTCCCCTTTCTCCTCACCCTGGATCAGGACAGGCTCCCCTCCTGTGTGTCTCCTCCTCCGGCTGTGCCTCACACATGGGCCCCTTAATCCCATTCCCCCTACCTCCCAGGAGCAGCCATCTTCTCCTCTGGGCAGCAGTGAGCACAGGAGCCCCGGCCACTGGCTCTTTCCACTCTTCCGGGCTTTCTTCAGACTGCCCAGCCACTGCTGTCCTGCCCCTCGGGCAGGGCCTGCTGTCAGGACCACCTGCTCGCCCGTCTGCTTTGCCCACCTTTAACCATCTTCCAGGGCCCATGCATAAGCACCTTCTCCAGAAAGCTCCCTCGTGTCTCCCGCTGCATCCTCATGAGAGCCCCTCATGGCCGAGACCGCATCTGCTTCATCTCCCTCCTCTCAGGGTCCAGGGTGCAGCTGGAGGGCAGAGGGTCTCCATGCATGAGCCATCCCTACATGCTCAGATGTTCCAGGTGGGGCAGGGGCTCTCTCCCATGACAGAGGCACCCGAGGCCAAGAATGAAGAACCGAACCCCACCTTGGGTTTTCTCATTATCCCCACGGACCTTTAACTCCTACAGCAATGCTGGCCTTGCCTTGATAGGGAGGGCTGGTCACACATCTGTGCCTGTGCTGCATCAGTGGTTATCAAGAATAGCTCTGGTTTTTCCTTGTTTGTTTTCTTTTTTAGCAAATAGTACAAGGTCATATCAGAAAGCTGTGTGTGTTTTAGATAAACTTAGAGTACACTATTTTGTCCATGGATGGTGGGGTGTTTGAAATAGAAAGTATTACTAACAAACCACAAGATTCTCACTGTGCAGGGCACTTCTGCAAGTGCTGCCAGGGTCATGAAGACGTTTCCACGGGTCCCTGTTCTCATGGAATTTTCCATGCCAACGAGGAGAGAGAAACAGAATTTGTGAATATTTAAAGTGTTGGCTACAAATACTGCATGCTTCCCCTTACATGAGGAATTTAAAGTACTTAAACTCTCAGAAGCACAGCATAGAATGGTGGTTGCCAGGGGCTGGGAGGAGGGAGAAATGGGAAGTTGTTCAAAGGGCATAAAGCTTCAGTTATGCAGAATGAGTCAGTTCTGGAGATCTGCTGGAAACCCAGTGCCTGCAGTGAACAATACTGTATTGTGCATACAAATTTTTGTTGTTAAGAGGGTGGGTCTCATGTGAAATGCTTTTTAGCACAATAATGAATAAATAAATAATTAATAAAATAAATTGCTGGTTGAGATAGTAATGGGAAAATGATGTTTGAAGTTAATTGCCAAAAGACTAGCATCAAAGCAGATTAGGAGCACGTAGCTGGGAGCACTGCAGCTCTGTGGAGAGGGTGGCCTAGAAGGTTTCTTGCAGGTGCTCTGAGGGTGCAAAAAGCAGTCTGACCAGGCCCAGGTGTGGGGTGATCAGCTGGACACAGAGAGCCTGGGACTGTCACACAGATACAGGGGCCGGGAATAGGTCAGAGACACAAAATCAAGGGCACGGGGTGCAAGCCAGGGCTGGCCAAGGTGCTGGTGGAGGACTCAGTGGATTAGGACCTCAGGCTTGGTGGCAGGAGAGGAGTCCTGCCATTCGCAGATCTAGGGAAGGGAAACAGGCTGGCTGGGGACACAGGATGAGGGCTGCTGTAGAAATTCTGGTGTTGGTATGTGGTGTGGGCGATGTCCCAGAGGTCATGAGGAAAGCAAGACTGGCTGTCAGGAAAAAGCCAGCTTGGAAATGGGGGTGGGCTTAGCCCAGGTAAGTGGGTGCTACTGTTGTCAGAAATAATGTGAGAAGAAGTGTGGGGCTGAGACCCAGCTCAAGGTGCAGGCACCTCTGGTCTGGTGACCATGGGAGCCGCTGCCCAGGCACGGTGTGGGCAGAGAGGCACCTCGCGTGGTGCAGGTAGCCAGGCCGTGCTTTCTCGCCGCAGTGTGGACGTGCCTACCAGACAGCAGCTGGGTTCCTGTGGGACACCTGACTCAGCCACTCCATCCTGGGCTGTGCCCCTGGCCAGGCATGGGCCAAACAGTGGAAGGCACGCCTCAGGCTTCCTCCCATAGCCTCATGCCCTGGAGCACGTAGAGGCTGGTGGCCCTTCCGTGGGGGAGGAGGGGACTCCACAGAGGAGGAGGGTGCTTGGGGGCTTGTGTCCAGGGGTCCACTGTCTGAGGAGCACAGGGAGGGTGGCTGCTCTGGGAAGGAGCTGACGTGCATGGACCTCCACAGGAAGAAGGGGCTCTGATCATCGAGGGGCTCCTCAACATCGCCTGGGGACTCCGGCGGCCCATCCGGCTCCAGATGCAGGATGACCGGGAGCGAGTGCACCTCCCCTCGGCCTCGTGGACACCTGGACAGCCCAGCTGCCACCCGTGAGTGTCCAGCCAGGCGGGGCAGGGCCAGGGGGCCTCCGTGACACCTGAGTTCAACCCGAATTCCACTGTGTAGGGCGTATTGGGGTTTTCCTCAGGCTCAGAGGGAAAGCCCCGCTCATATGGGCCCTGAGTGTAACACAGCCTCATCCCCAGCATCCCACGACTGCCTCAGTCCACAGGGCCCCAGCACACAGCTCACCCAAGTGGCCTTCCTAGATGACAACCATATCGCCTTCCTCCCCACCTCCTTCCTGGAGAATGTTCCAGGCACCCATCACCTCCATTCATGTGTCTCAGACATGCACAGGAGCTACCTTGTCAGCAAGAAGAGAGGGCTGCAGTGGGATTGTGGGCAGGGGGCTCTCAGCACCCCCTGCAAGCTCAACATTTCACAGCATCTCCTCTTGTACCTTAAAAACCCACGCAAATGTAGCCTCCAACTACTTTGCTTTGTTTTAATGTCAGAATTTAAGATCAGGTTTATTTGAATATCAGCAGAATGTCTCCATCTGGAAGAAATGGTTTCCTGCCTGTCTTTCTGTTTAGTGACGTCCCCCTCCCACACCACACCCCCAGAAGGGGCCAATTAGCAGCTCAGCTTTACGCGCTCCTGCCTGTGACAGCTCCTTCTAGGAGGCACACATTCCTCACTGTGCCTTCAAATATGCAAGTAAAGCTGATGCTCTGAGAGCACACTGACACCCTGGCACATCTGTAGGCGTCCCTGGTTACTCAAAGTGAGTAGACTTAGAGTATTACGCCAGAAAGGTTGAGAATGGGACCTGTGTCCCACTCCCTGAAGTGAAAGCCATCACAGGTGCAGTCACAGGCAGCAGCCGCGGGCTCTGCCTGTATCTACTCAGGATGCTCCTTCTGTCTGCTCCTCCCCTGCTCGCCTGTTCCCCCGCACACCAGGCTGTGGCCCTTCATGCCCACCGTTGCTTCTCCATCTGGCCCCAGCTGCCTTGTCTTGGGGTCTGTCCTACCAAGAGGCCTAGAGGTTGGCTCCTTCAAGGTTACTGCTGCCTGACTCCCTGCCAAGCCCTGGGGAAGCCCAGCAAGCCTGCTTGACACAGGACACTGGCTGTGTTACATGTGGTGTGTCAATGTGTCAGTGAGATGCAGCCCAGCCCAGACCACCGGGGCCTGTAAGGCCAGGCTCACTGTCCTTCCAGCAGACACTGTGGGACATCTCAACTCAGCCTGCCTCACTTCTCTTCCGTGTCCTGCCCCCAAGACTGCAGCCTCTTCTCTTTGGCCTGCATTATCTTCCTCTGCCTGCAGCCGTCTGATCACTGCAACTGTCTCTTTTCAGAAAGGAGCCATCTCCCCAGGACAAAAGGGTCACCACTGAGGAGCCAGGGGCCCAGCTGGTGCCCAAGGTTGAGAGTTCCAGAGACAGTGCAGGTAAGTGGAGCCTGTGGGCTGCCGGGACTGTGTCCTCTGGGGTCAGAGAAGAGGAGCTTGGCCCATAAGCATAATCCCCGAGGAACAGCTTTGTGGAGTCGCAGGGAGCAGCCCCAGTTGTCTTCGGCAGCTACCCTGATAAACACCTGCTGAACACGCACTCAACACGAGGCACTCTGCCCACGTTCTCATCTATTCCTCTTTGTGGAAAAGGAAGCGAAGGCTTGCGGGGTGGGTTTGTCAGTGGCCTGAGTCCCCTGCACTGTGCCGCACCACAAAATAGAGCATCAGCAGAGGCCACTTCCCCCTCCGTCCCCAGGCCTCCAGGGCTAAGTCCTCATGCTCTGGGATCTGTAACTGCTCATCTGTCCTTTCTTGTGTCGCTTCCCTCAGCACTCAGTGAAGCGCCTGTCCCAGAGTGGGTGCTCAGAAGACGGGGGGGGGCGGGGCAAAGACCTCCCTGGGTGCAGGGAGACAGAGACCAAGAGGCAAATGGCCTGTGATGTTGTGACATAGGTTACCCTGTCCAGGGTCACTCTTCCTGTCTGCAGACTGCAAATCATCCAAGCTCCGCCCCAGCCTCCAACAAAGGAGCAGCACTGACGTTACCGTCTGCAACAGTACTGTGTGACCATGAGGCACCTCGGAGCCAACCTACAGATG